TTCCGTAGTTTGTGGATGGACGGATCAACCACGAGCTGTGTAACGGGGGTTGAATCCATACGTCCATTACCATCTGCGAGTTTGTGGACGTCCGTCCCGTTCACAGCTGTCCGCAAACTTTTTCTGCCCCTGCCGCACACTATTTTCCGTTCATACTTTGCGGTGGAGGCACCTGCATGCATCCGTTACCACGAGGTCGCCGACTTCGTGATAGGTGGCTGGTGTGTCCACGAAAGGCCTGGGCTGGGGCCTCCCTGGGAGTTTGGGCTAGGGCAGAGTCCACGCCGGATCTCGTTGTATGCATGGCGAAGCGAGCGCTCATCCCCTGGGCCACCGAGGCTGGGCATCGCACAGGTCGCGGCTGTCCTCGGTATCCGCTAACTATGGGCACCGATTGATGCCACTCACAGGTGCCCATCAGGGCAGCAATCAGTGGCCACCAGGAGCAAGAATGGCACGAGTGGGAGGATGGTTCAAGAATTGAGGCTACTGGCATGGGCAAACGAAAGTGGTGGGGGGGAAGGGGGCTGCTCATCCACGTCCATCAACGGCTCCAGCGGATCCCAGCCTGGGATTCCCAGGCGCCCGCGCACACAGCAGGGAGGCCGAACGGACTCCGTTCTGTTCAACAAAGGCGTCCGAGCACACCGGCGCAGCCGCCCGCGATCAAATGGCATTACCACGGAATCTGTCCGTAACCGCATATTGCCTGCCAGCGGGGCGTCCATCCATCCGTGTTCGTCAGCGCGACGTGAGGTTCCATCCGTACGCCACCGCAATGCAACGGATGGACGCGGCTCTGACCGTATGTTTCCGCGAGCTGATGTGGCCAGTTCGCGGACGGACTGTCCGTCCATCAACAAACGGAGGGAAGTGGACCGCACTGGCCAGAATCAATGGAAAAAGGGCAATGATGCGTCCATACCATAGGATTGGCTGAGAATTGTTGAAACCCGGACTTGAAAATGGCGCCATGAACCCGCCATCATGCTTATCACAAGTTGCTGAATATGGCCTCCAGTCCGGAGTCCGCTGGGGCGATTCATTGGACTCGCGTCCAAATCTGATCCCCAAGCATTCCGTCGCGCCCAAGATGACTGGACAGTCAGCTCCACCGCCCGCCCTGCCACCCAATCGCTGACTTCCACATGGCCGTAATCGCCCCACCGCGGCGCGCCCGCTACCTTGACCCCGCCGAGCGGCGTCACCCACAGGCAACCGCAAGCCACCTCTGGCCCCTCTCCTCCCAGCCTTGGCCAGTCGCCAGTTGCCGGGCATGCAGCCCGCCCTGCTGGGCGGAGCCCATCCGCCTGTCCGCGGAGATGCCCACAGAAGGCTGCAGGCCTTGCCCGGAACCATGGGTGATGAGCGGCACTGCCGGGCACCGCATGCCAAACGGTCGGGAAGGGTGGAAGCATCTCGACGCGGCGAGCAAGTTGGAAGAGTTTTCGCTCTTGTCGACGAGACGCAGGTGTGAATCGGGGGCCGGAGGTGTGTGTGTGTGCGTGGGTGGGGGGTGGGAGCTGGGGGGGAAGGGCTGGCGCCAGGAAGGGCGGGGATGTGATGGTGCCGTTTGCTGGGGATGTTGCCCGTTTGCTACGGGGTTAGGTGTGTCGCGATTTGCCCTTGTAGATTTGCCCGGATGCGGCGATTCTCTGTTTTGGGACCTTGTCGGCGCACCGGGGGAACGATGGACGCAGGCGAACTGAGGAAATGGCGAACTAATAAGGCGGGAGCGAATGGGTTTGAGGGCGCAGACGGTGCAGGGGAGAGGCAACGCCATCTGCTAGGGAAATTCTGATTTGCGACTTGGCTGGGTGCGTCTTTGCCGCATGCGGGGCGCTGTCCTCCCCTGCGACCCTGTTTGCGCTCGTGCGCCGCCCGCTCTGTGGCGAGGAGCTCGGAACCGCGTGGCGCTGTCGGTACCGCATTCAGCGCAGTTTTCTACATTGGGGCCCGCACCCGCTTTTGATGCCATCTAGCGAGTCGGGGGCCTGCCGGAGGGGGCGGAGGAGGCGCGCAGGAAGCGAATAAACGGCAGTCGGCGAAGTTTTTGCCAGAGTCACTTCGGGGTGCGCGGTCCCGTGCGCATCGTCCTAAGGCGGTGCACCTTGATGGCTTGTGGCATCAGCAGGGTTGCCTCGTTTGAGCGCCCGGTGTTGTGTGTGACGCCCTGAAAAGGGGCCGTGGCTGTGCGACAGGCGCTGGCGGCCGACAGCGGGCCGGCCACGGAGCGGGCGCCAGCGGAGGCTCGGAATACAGTCATCAGGCGCGTTTCTGGGACCATGGCCATGTCGCACGGAGAAGCGCGGGCCCAATCGGCTGAATGCCTGCGCAAAATGTGGCGAACATCCAACAGATTTGATGCTTGGATTCGATCAGTACTGTTGATTGAATATGCCAATACCTGCAATCATCGGCAGCTTTGTTGACGCTTTGGATGCGCCTGGCTGAGATGATTCTGTCCAGGAAGACCCTTGTTGTTATTAGGGTATGACAGATGGCAGGCCATGCATGTCCCTGGCGATGTTGGGCATCTTCACCTCCACAAGGGCTTGTTCCCAATGCTTTCCGACACAATCCATCGAGTGCGTTGAATGAGTGCATCAGCAGCGCTCATGCCTGAAGGAAACAAACCTGTTCAGTAACAGATAAGTTTCGTTTCCCTTTGCCAGGTTGTTTGAGGCTATCAACCGACGCGATCTGTCGCTCATTCTCAGCTACATCGACGACGACGCAGTGCACCACGACCTCGCATTCCAAGAACCATACACAGGCAAAGAGGTGGGATGTCCGAATTCTTTAGCTGCACTGGTCTCGCCAGATGGAACACCACAATCACCTCGCCATCAACGCCAAATCAAAAACCATGTGCCATCGTAAATTGTGCATGATCTTCCCATGCCGCCGAAGAAGATGCGGCGGGATTGTTGAGTTGAAGAAAGGGGAGGCACACAAGCAGCACAACACTATATTGCTTTAATCGAATTGACAAATTATTAATGAACGATTACGTGGATGATTTAGACATTACGTGGAGTGGACAACATTCGATGGGCCCAAAGATATTCGGCATTACTGATGCATACAGGGCCAGCTCGTTTCGCTCGGCCTAACTGCAGCTCTTCTACTGCGACAACATGAATGACAGGATATTCCAGTGACAAAATTCTCTTCTAAAGTCCACTATGCACCTCAAGGAGGGTCCATTCCAATGTTATCTGTCCAAATAGTCCTCTTTGTATGGCGTGGCATATTTTCAGTTGCAGTCGCGGATGCAAACAAAACATATTTGAGTCTTTGTGACCATTGTACCACAACATTTGATGTACACCAATATTTTACGCATTCTCTTCCAATTCCTTACCCTCTTCAGCTCCTCCACACACACGCAACATACAACCATCCACATAACAAGCAAATGGAATAACACAAGCAAGTGCTAAAAATATAGATCTGGCATCTGTGGCGCGTTCAGTACAAACAGTTTTCAACTAGATAATGTGGCCTAAAGGCACTTGTGTATGAGGGGCCGAGGGACAAGTATGCCAGGCGCTAGCAGCAGCACATGCGTACAGAAATTTTGAAGATGGAAAACGCATCTGCAGGCAGTTGCGAAGTTCTACCACGACCTCGTGTACCGCACCCCCGTCGACATGAAGTTCATGATCGAAGACATCACCTCAGGCGACAGGCTCAAATGCGGAGTCATGTGGTACGCTGCAGTGGACTGCCCTGATTACAGCGATGCTGTGCGTTCATCCCTCTTGTTTTCCATGACTCAGACCATTCAAGAATTTGGTCATTTGTCACCATACTTGTCATCGCAATTGTAAGTCGTGTACCATTTGCATGCCTGATGTCGACTGTATCGAATCAGCAGCACCCGCTCTGACGGGCAGCTGGAGATGGATTGGGATATTCCATTGGCCGAATTCCCAAGTAACGGAATTAGTTGATGGCGCAATTGGGGCAGATGTCGCGTAAATTCAACTCCCAGTTCGTGTACATTTTCTGCTCACAGAGATTGCTCTGCGCTCGCTCTCGACGTCCTACAGGCCGGTATGAGCATTTTTCTGCTTCTCTTTAGCATTGGGGCTTGCACCAACATCATCATTTGATATCCTGTTAGTCATCTCAAAATGTTACTTTCTTGAAGGAAAAGCCGTTGATGCGATGTAAGCAGCTTCCTTTTCAGCGCACATTGGAAGCGCAAATTTACGACCGCCGATGATTCAACGGCGTTGGCATACGGCCACAGGCGAGACCACACCCACACACAAGTTGGGGTCACATATTTGTTCGCCCTGCCCAAAGCAAAGAGTTTGCCGATGGCAACGACCCCCGTGACAGAACACTTCGAATCTCCTGGCACCCACAGAACTGTCCTTTTTATGTGATAGGGAACATTATCCATCACTAATCGGCCATACGACATTTCAAAGACACCCACTCATCGCCACAATGCAGCCCACTCCATAGCACATCTGATATAGGCGCCCATACACTCAATGGGAATGTATAAATATTCTAACTGCCAGCGCAACCCCAAAAACGACATTTGAATTTGATGCAGATGGCATCTCCCACAACAATCGAATCGATGCTATTAAAAGTCTCATCGTAAGAGAAATAATGCTGTGAATTCTAAGACATGTTTTCTTTTTTCATAGATTCAAAACACCTCGCATATAGACCATATTCTGGAAACGTATTCAATTCGCACACCATAATGCATATGTGAACCATCTATGAAAGGGCGTTCATTATGCGGTGTGGCGAACAGCTTGGTATTCGCGGTGCAACAGCCAAAGGGAAGGTAACTATCAGTGCTCGGTAATAACTATCTCGCCTATTGAGTGCTATTGGTAAATACAATTTGTTGATTGGCGTTCCGATGGTGCACTCAGGCACATCGAGGTCGGTGGCGTGGAGGTTCCCCTCAGCCGGGGTGTCAGTTTCTATAGAGTCAGTCCTCAGGGGCGCATCTGTCATGTCAGAGAAGGCCCGGAGCACTTTGTGAAATTGGCGGGCGCGGCCCTTCCGGCGCTCACCGTTGGCTCGCCGCTGATCAGGAGCTTGGCGCCAATGCTTCAAAGGCAGATTCAAAAGTGAGTTTGGCCTGTGTTGAAAATTTTTCAGACACAAGCATTTGGGCTTCCTGAATTTAGGGTGTTTACCCTGGTCTGATCTAAAATGTGACCAGGATATGGATGGCCGGCATGTGTTCTGTCCATGCCTGTATGCGTTGGAGATGGCCAGGGTACAGCTAGGACAAGGGACGAGAATTCATCAAAATTTCGCTCATTTTTTGTGATATATGTTGAATAGATACGTAAGTAGCCGTGCAATAGAATAAATAGACGTGAACTTTACCTGCAGAGATAAATCTTGCCTTCCACGCCTTTCCTATGATCACAGGGTGGCTGAGGTGTTGCACGTGCTGCCGCCATTTCGCCACTAATCAGGAGCCAGGCACGCAAGCCGAAGCAGCATATTTGGATGCAAAATCTGCACTGCACAGGGGAATTTTTCTATTATCTGTGATGCAAGACAGAGGGCAGCTTGCCGTTGTAATCCTCCAAGGAATGGTGATGGCGAATCTATTGGCGGTCCATATCTTGAGTATGCGTACCCCGTCCGCGTCTTTGCCTAATGTAGTTCGCATGTTTGTCTTTTGTCTCTGCAGGAGTCTGCCGTTCATTTCCGAAGCCTCCGGAGACTCTCCAATGAGCTTCCTTCAATACCTCTCAAATTCTGTAGGTGGTGGGGGAGCGGATGCCAAAAGGCCCACATACTACAACGGAGACACTGGAGTCCGCCCGAGCGCAATGAACGCGAGAGTGGGACAAACCGGTGGGCTTGGACAACAGCACCAAATTGTTGGCTTCTTATCATTTGAGACCATGATTATATCGACAGATTGATTTACCTTGTCAACTACTGAATCGCTCACATTGGAAATGAGCGACATGGGCAGACTGTAAAGTTGTGCTGCCGTAGCTCAGTTTGTCCTCCTGTTGCTACTAGTGGAGGGCAGAGAGCCGACAGCATCTTCGTCAGCGGCGGGCGCCCAAGCTGGCGGTCAAGGGAGATATGGAGCGGGTATCGACAAAGGGCCCGCCAGTGGCCAACGTGTGGCGAATGGAGCCACCGCTGTTGCAACGGACTCCCAATCCAGCGATGCTGTGTCAAAGCTTCCCAACTTGACGGGCATGTGGATCAAGGACATGGAAGTGAGTGCCAATGATGGCGCATACAGTGCAGTGATGTGATTGCGTTGCCAAAAAGCAAAAGTCATGCAAACTGCAGCGCCTTGTCAGTTTTTTCCGAAGCATTTTGTGCAATATATGTGATGTGTCAGCAGTCTCAGACCGCAACAGGAAGATGCACAACTGTTGCGCATGCCTATGCGTTGGATTGCAGTTTCCAATGTATGCAACAGCACTGTCTGTGCACCTCAATTGCCGGAACACTTTCGCGCTATTCACACCGTTTGTTCTGGAACCTTTGCTCATTTTACTTTGGTCGCGTGCCTTGTTTTGCACGGGATTGGGGTCAGCGCCTCAGACCTTCGTCGACCATTAATGTTGTATTGAAATTCGGCGATGACGCCTTCCATGTATGTCACATGCTGTATCGGCTGTAAAACTACATGTAGTGCAAAACAATCTTGCGTACTTCTACTAGCATTCCGTTAAGTCTCTATTACATGCGTGCCGTTATTCAGCATTATTATCAGAAATGCGCCCTTGTCTGGTTTGTCATATAATGGGTCCATATTTAATGTAGTGCATGCGAAATGATTGCCTGTGCGGCGTCGCCAGGCCTCAGCCGGCGAGGCCTTCGAGCGCGGTCTGGACGTCATGCAGCTGGGCGGGCTGCAGAAGGGCGCCGCCCGCGCCATCTCCGCCATCGAGGTGGAGCACTCGGACGACACCTTCTCCATGCACTTCGTCACGCCCGTCCCGCAGTTCAAGGTCACGGAGAAGTACACCTTTGGCCGCGAGGTGGCCATCGGCCGGAGGGACCTTAGGTCCGGGCGGCAGATGGTGACAGCAGAAGATGCAGGGGACATGCTGGTTTTCCGGCACGGATGGGGCGACCCTGTGGCGGGGTCCATGGTGGAGGAGTTCACGTGCCCCGAGGACGGCGTGCTGCACATGCTGTCCGTGGTGGAGGTTGCCGGGAAGGCGGCGACGGTCCTGCAGGTGTACAGGAGGCAGTGATGGGGATCGGGGGTGGGGGGTGGGGGGGACTGTGGGCAAGCATGCGCTTTCTGCACAAATTCGATCCGCTTTTGAGCCCCGTTGAATTGTTCAAATAATCTATTACAAAATGCGCTACGTGTGGGGACGGGAGCGAACTTTGTGTCGCTGGCCATGGTTGTGGGGTTTTCTGGCAACCGAGTCGGTGCAGTTGGCATGAGTATACATGTGGCTTGGATGTTGGGTCCGGAATTGTTCCCAATCTGCCACGGAAGCTGGAGCAGGGGGTTGGTTTTGTGATGGAGGCCATTACTCGCTGCAAGGCCTGTTGACAGGCGGGGCCCATAGAGTGTGGGCGTGGGAGGGCCGCTGGGTGCTTTGGTGTTGTTTCAATTGTTTTCATAACTTTGTTCGCGGAGACTGAGGCTGATGATATGACTAGGAGCGGAGGCTGGGTGAAATTTTTAGGATTCTTTGATTGCGTTGGGCGACGCTGCTGCTTTAATCGCGTGGGTTGTTTCGGGGATTGTGCTCCCTACGACGTGGTTATGTGCAACGACGTCGTCTGTTTACACTTCGATTGTTCTGGCTTGTGATGTCAGGACTTTGTGAAAACAGGCGATTCTTTAATATGCATTTCATTCACGGAATTAAGATGCGGGTGTCCATTGGTGCAACGAGCGATTCGGCAGCGCTCGGCTTTTCCCTGGACATGTCTGTAGTGGCGAATCGCATTGGTTGCATTCATGGACAATGGCAGACTAGTGAAGTTCCGCGTTCGTGGCGATGTCGGAAGCCTTGGCAGAACCTCCAAAAAAAAGGTGTAGGCTAGTCAGAATTTCGTATGCTGGATGCCATTGCAATTACTACTGTCCAAGGGATTTGCACTCACGCATGGATGTGAACTATTGGGCATGGCAACGAGCATCTCCGTTTACCTCACGCAGTTCCTTCGCTTGCGCCTCCGTTACCAGATCAATCAATTCCGTTCAGGACGCCTTTGGCAACAATGGTTCTCGCTGGAGCAAGCAGTGAGGAACCGCAAGGAGTGGCGCACATTTCTGTGTCGGTGATTTTTCACTTATGGCGGGCGTGTCCCCCAGAGTACTGACTAACCAATGATTACTCATCACCTCGGTATTGACTAGTCACCATCACAGCTTTCAAGCGCTATCAGCGCAGCAAACATTGGTAACTCGATCTTCCCGCAAAGCTTTTGCACACACTAAGGCAAGTGCGCCAATTGGCTGCTCTTTGGGCGGGCCGCCAGCCAATTTCCTGCCCCCCTACCACCCTCTACCAGAACAACGTCTCTACTGGGTGTTGGCCACGTCCTTCCACTCTCCCAATCCCCTCTTCCTCCAAGGTGCCCATCCATGTGTGACCAGCCCTGGCTGCCCAATGTCTGGCTAGGAGGGTCACAGCTTGCAGCGTTGCCGTGGGCGGGTGACGCTCCAGGCAGCACCACAGCATGTAGTGCCAGTGAGGGGGCCGCTCCCATGTTCACCATACTGGACGACTTGCCAGATGTTAATCAGCTGCAGTTGTATTGTCACCCGCAACACCCCACCTGTTGATTGTAAGAGGCTCTGTTGATTTGACAATTGACCATGTGGATTCCACAAAGGCCATCTTTAGCCGTGCTGTTTCAAGATTCCTGCACCCATTCGTGCCACATCAGCCTTCTCCAGCATGTTTCTACTGATTTCTGCGCCACATCAGCATTGATTGTCAGATTCCATATTGACACGGAATATTGATGGAACGACCATCATCGGGATCAACGCAGTGCGCTGCTGTCATCGCCCACTGTGGATCAATCAGCGCGCCACCACACACGTGGATGTTGAACATATTTCGAACATACCATGAATGGGTACCGCCCACAGGGGGCATTCCCACCTCCCTGCAAAGAATGCATATGCAGGAAAGTGGGGAACAAGTCAGTGACATGCATCAAAGGTACAGGGGCATCCCTAAGACTGACACAAATTCCGTTTCTGACAGATTCAACTCGAAGCCCTCCTTCGTCTACAGGTCCGAGGCTGCCACTCTGTAAGGGTGATGAGCTCAGTGACTATTGACAACAGAAAAGACCAATCAGCCCCAAGCCTGTTACTGTGTTCAAGGCATTAACCATTTAGATGTATGATGCACAAAGTGGGAGCTGGCAGTGGGACTTTTCCCCACAACAGCAGCAACATGTTGTACAACAGAATCTCTGCAGGGACGAAACCTCCCTGCATGTCCCAACACCTATCAACACATATTATGGATGAATTTGTGAAGCAATCAGCAATAAAAACGGCACGCCACTATGAAAATGCACCAGCTTGTAGGATGGGGTTCCCATATAAGTTTTGAACGTCACAACATGCTTCAAACTTACGACAAAAACATCAGAACGCACAGCGTGTTTGCCGATTTCAACTGGTGCGTTGATTGTTGCGATGTGATGAAGTTGAGGGGCATGCGAGCCTGCACTTTGATACCGTGGTGGGCAAATATGCAGCATGTAAATTGACATTTTGTTGCTCATCATGGAATGCAACAAGCATGAGGTCATCCCCAATTCGCCAAAGCACCGTCCCTTCAACTAAGCTGGAGATAGTAGTTGGTATTTGAGGCATAATTTGCATCTTCATCCTTACATCTGCTCACAATTCCCCGACAGCACATCCTCCGCTGCCTAGGCAGGATTCCATTTATGTGGCACTGTGATAATTCAGTTATTGTGGTCTGCCAGCCACAGTGGAGACATTTATGCACCCTGTCCTTTTATTGCAGCAGGTGGAATGCAAATCACAGACTGCCCTTCCATTTTGTCTGCCTTGCTGTAAGCAGCAGAGCCTTTGCTCTGTGCCAGAGGAAATAAATTGCGCCTACCTCTATCGTAGGCTGGGAGGTTTGCTGGAGCCCGCGGAGTCGGTGGGGTCCTTCAAGCAGCTCTGCCCCTGCATCCAAGAGGATTGTGAAAGAAGAAAGTTTTCAGTACACCAGCCAAGACGCTGCACCACCATATTCTCAACAACAGCACTCCACACGACTAACCAACCACAATCTCAACCTTCCCACATATAGCTCGGAATGGCCACGGTCTGGCTCGGTTCCCCAGGCTCTCCCCCACGATGCGTTCCTGTTGCTTCGAATGCGAATATGCATTTGCCAAAATCAAATGCGCGTTGCAACCTGGAAACGTGAGGATTCAACTGGCACATAGCATTGAAAATATGCCAACCGACAGACATGCCACAGCGGGGCCAGATTCGCGCCCGTTGGCGCGTTGCCTCACCATCGATCTCAGCAACCGCTTCCCCGGTCCGAAACGCCAGCAGAAGAGCAAGCAGTGTCCCCAAGTTCCGTTGGCGCTTCATCCAATTTTCCACGGAAGGGCGCGGCTGAGGAGCCCGCTTTCGTGTCGGGTGTGCATTCAATTTGATGCAATATATTGTTGTAACTACAACTGATTGAGTATTGGTAACAGCCGGACGCCTGAAGAGGTGACGAGGCAACAGGAACTGAATTAAGGGCGCTGATGAGCGGACCGGATATAAGGGGCGCATTCCGCGTTGTCCCTTTGCTCCGCTGTAAACCGTTGACGTGTACTCGAACCTACGGTCCCTAGTCAGGGGTCGCCGCCGCCCCCCCACCCCACCCCCCTACGCACCCCCCACCCCACCCCCCAAACCTGCTTGCCTTCGTCAACACCATTTTTATCCGGCTGCTGAGCATAAGGTATGGATGCTAGTTAATGAGCTGATGCTGAGGGACACGTGGGTGGGAAGTGTAGACACGCCAAAACCGTCCCGTGGGACGATCGCTGTCGCAATTCCAGACTTCTGTCCCACGGGCGTGGGGGCTGTACATGGGTCTACCACTTCTGTATTCGTGATTTTTTCCAAATGGAGCCATGACTTTCGTCTGCGCGGGGAGTCTTTGCGTTCTTCTCAGGTCAGCGGTGCTATTTATCGGAGCGCCCAATGATCGACGATAAACTGTTCAGCATATCCCGCCCGCTCTCTCTAAAGATGTGAGTTCGCTTGAGATGAATTGGTGAGGTATCAAGTCCTAGGGCATAGTACTCTGGTTTCAATCGCGAACCATGGACAAACTTTGTGCGTCGGTCACTGGGCTTTGTTTTGGGTGAAGGACACCGACGGAGAAATTGCAACAGCCAGGCGTTTGGCTTGGCTGGAATCATCCCTTTTGTGCTGCCGGGATCCATAGGTGTGGATGGCACCACAAACAGACGAACAGACCCTTGCAAAAATGCGGCTGTTCGTGTGAATAGTTTGACTACCAGCTTTTTGCCGTGCCGCAGTTGTGGCTGTTTTCCAAGCGCATGGCCGAAATCTAAGGTCCCTAATCTTAGTGAAGCTCCCCGCCCGTCACAGCTCCTCGAGGTACTTGAAAGTGCGCTAACAATTTGTGTTGATGACATCATAATCACTAGTGGAAATGGCCATTTCTGGGACGCCAGGTGACAATAAATGACGCCTACTGGGACGCCACTGGAACGCCACTGGGACGCTTTCTCGAGCGTTGGCCGTGTTAGGGTGCTGAAAGGACGCGTCCCACTGGCGTACCAGCGTCATTTGTTGTCACCTGGCGTTCCAGAAATGGCCAGTTTCGCTAGTGAATGATACGGCACTCAACGGATGGCATGGCTGTAAAAGGGCGTCGCTGTTTGGAATCTGCCCTTAACTCCATTGCTTCCAGCTCGTTCCGAGACCGCCGCGAACGGAAAACTTCCTCAACGGCGTGCTGGTCATCATCTGCAGCCAAAATAGCCCGAGCAGTTTACGCTCAGCAACGCAATGTCAGTTTAGTTTGCACTAAACCAGAATTGTTTGCCACAATTTACTGTGCAGTTAATGACGACAACCAATTCCAGCGAGCAAAGGTTGAAGCGGCCTTTGAAGCAAATTTGCGATCAGTAGGGAGAATAAGTTGAGCGGATATGCCAGGGTGGGAAGACTTGGATCGTACATTCACGGAACTACAGTAGCGTCGCCCCCAGCGACACCTTCTCAATCTAGATACAATTGAGATTCAATATCGCGCGGAAGGCTTTGTACTCATTGTTCTGTTCTTCCCTTTGCAAATAGAAGCAGGCGCACAGCCAGCGCAGAAACTCATAATATCTTTATCTTCCCGTGTGGCACGTGGTTCGTGCTGCGCCCCGACGCGAATTCTGCAATGCCTTCCTCAAGTGTGATGCAAATCATGGGCGGTAGTGCCCCTCCATGATTTCAACAACACTAGCTAGTTTTACGCGGTCAAATTTGCGCTGAACATTGCCCTTGCGTTTCGGAAGATATGGTGGGGACAATCCCAATGGCAGACTAAGAAAAGCAGTGTTTTGAAATTATGACTCTTCAGTGACATGCGCAATGGGCTCCCCGCCGGTCTCCCCCCCGCTTGGCGTCAACCGTTGCTTAGATGCCGGGCTTATTACTTGAACAAGTTAAATAACTTGCAAACAGTGCATCGATCTCAAAGGACAGTACATTGGATTGGGGGCAGCATGTCCACAACTGGCATTTCAGTTCACCGTCGAGGTTTCTTGGCCAATCCGGCTCGAGATCCCGCCGTCGCAATCGAATGCGCATAGCTAGGGGCTGCAACGCAGCAGAATCCAAACCTTTTAGGTGCGACCTTCGTGGCAGCCTTGGTGCACGCGATGCTCAAACGCACTCGCCGTGAGTGGTCCGACAAGCAGCCAAGAGACCACTCAACATGTCCTACAATCAAACTAGGAGAAGCCACGAACAGAACCAGGTCTCTCTTTAAATACCGGAGTACGCCTTTTTTTCCGCTCAACAGATCTGGTTCTAGGACTCAAACTCAGAAAGGCGTACTGAACTCACAAGTCACACACGCACAACACGCTACCCCACAGCACCGATCCATAGCATCGACCCCCCGGCGCCGACCCACATGTAGATGTACATCTACAATTCACTGCACCAACTCACGATCACCAGAATTAGCAAACTTGAAACTAATCATTGGGCAGCCTTCCTCCCACCTTCTCAAAGAGGACGACGAGTGCACCAGTCAGAAAGCGCATGACCAGCTGCTTGCACAACATGCACTAGGAAAAAAGGGCAAAATAACGCGTGTTCAAACGTGTACAAAGTTTACGGGTTTGTGTTATTTTTGTGTTCTTAACGTGCAGAACGTTGATGAAATGGGTTTTATGTGTGTTCGCAAAAGTGTTATTTGGCCCTTTTTTCTTAGTGATGGTTGTTGTGGTTCTCTTGGTGCGTTAGACTTGCATCTCATCAATCTGAATCTCAATTCCGTTTCCATTTTTCTCATTGAGTTGCACTGCATGTCGGTGTTTTCAGCCACGGACCTCCAGCTATACAAACTGGAAAGTTACAAGTGAAACACCGAGGAAAAGCTTTTCCTTCACTTCAGTGACCGCCATTCAATTACGTTGTGGATGGCATTCCCTGAAATGGGACTGTCAAATGCCACCATCTACTTTTACACTTTTCACATCGAGGAAAAGCTTTTCCTCGCTTAAGTGACCGCCATTTAATTACCTTGTGGATGGCATTCCCTGAAATGGGACTGTCAGATGCCACCATCTACTTTTAATCATCGGTTGATGAATCGGTAATTGACGGAGCTCGTTTAGTGGCTACTAAACTAGCTCCGTCATTTACCGAATCGTAAACAATTGTCAATTACCGGTAATCAGGACATTCACAGAGTTTCAGCTTGTCCGATTGGGCATTCAGCATGTTTCTGCTGCAAGGTCACATGGCTTGATGGCCCACCCTTATTGCAGCAGTAAGAAATCTAGTTCTTGGATATCGTCTGTTTGTGAGTGTACAAAAAGGGTTGAAACTTCGGTGTGGACACGGAAACAGGACTTTTGCGTTCAACTAATAATGGCGCACGAAGAGAAACACTCAGCCTGAGAACCCTCGATACCAAAAGTTTGGGAATTGGCATCCTCACCATGAATTTAAGCTGAGTACCCACGCGGGGCCACCCAGGCGGCGCCAACAGGACCCGCATGGCCGTGACAGTCTTCAGCAAACCGTAGGCGTGGCAGCGGGTGCACTCAAGACCGCTGACACCAACACATTGCCTCGCGTCATCTGCCCCAACAGCCGGCAAGCAGCTGACAGCGACCCACAACTTGTCGATGACTGATGACAGGTGAAGGGCAAGTTGCCCACAGCCCCACCGGCTGTTGTACATTAGCGCTTCACTGGCTAAGGCGCTCATGACTCCAATCCAGCCGCCGGCCTCGGCCACGCCGCGTGGGGCCGGCACTCGGCCCACCCCAACGACGTGCAGCACCCGCTGCCGCCAATCATCACACAATAACACCAGGCAAACGATCCCGAATCACTCCCAGCCAACCACCCACATCCGCCAAGGCCTCCAGTACAGACCCCATGCAGTTCGCGCTGGCCAGCACCGCCGAGTAAGTGTGGGCGCCGGTGACCCCTGTGACTCCCAGCGCACAAACTACTGCCGTTAACCTTGGACCCCGCATCGGTCCGTCCGACAGGATGCACCCCAGCGCCCCCTGTACAATGCCCGGTACCCCCGCCTCCTGTCCTGCCCAGCCCGAGCCCTCAGCTCAGCTGAGCAGCCACGGGCTCCCTTTGCCGCCCAGAGCCCCTCCCACCGGTCCCACACCCCCACAGAAAGCTGTCGGCACACTGGGCAGTCCGCAGGGAACCCAGGAGCTGGATTGTTCGACCGCTGAGGGATCCCGGTGATTGAGGGATGGCGCTTGCGCGGCTCGGAGCGTCGATTCCGGCGCTGCTGCTGGCCATGGTGCCGTGGTTGGTTGCCGGGGACGAGGCGGAGTGCGCACAGGCAACCCCACGGGGTCTGCGCCAGCAGGTGGTGGTCATCGGCGACGGGGTGTACAACCCGCTGGTGGGGCCCTTCCCGGATGGGTGCTCGCCCGGCGACCCCTTCATCACCCAGGGCTTCTGCTCCGGGGGTGATGCCTTTTTCTCCGGCGTGCTGAAGTACGGTGACGACGAGGTGGCGGCCATGGAGCGCAACGCGCGCGCCTATCTGCTGGAGGATCACGGGCTGGACGCGGCCGAATTAGAGGCCACGGGCCAGGCCGTGTTCTTCAACTACACACTTGACCCCAGGCTGGGGCTGGTGGTGTCGGCCATGGGCGGGGAGTGCGTGCCCAGGCGGGGCTACGCGGTGAGGGACGGCGGATTCGGGCTGGCCATCACGGCGGACAGGGGGGTGATGCTCAGGGGAGGGATCGATAGGCCGAGGAACGGGTACACTGCCGAAAGGGGGAGCGCGTTGCTGTTCGGGGCGTACAGCATCAAGGTGACGGGGTCCGCGGCCAGGCGGGTTGTGGTGCGGTACAAGGCTACGGCGCCGGTGGCGCAGGACCGGGGGCTGGGGGGCGTGCCAATATCGTACGCGTTGAGCAGCGAGGAGTGGGGGGAGGGCCAGGCGCTGGGGGTGAACGCGGACGAGACCACCCTGAACGGGACGATGCGCCACGCGGACCGGGTGGTGATGACCTTTCCGCCGTACGCGGAGGCGAGCTGATGGTTGTGGTGTGGGAAAAATTGGGGGTGTGGGGTGGGGGGGGGGGGGGGCTTTTCAAGAAAGGAGAACGGGAGAAAAGCCTTGGAAGGGAAGCCAGGCTTTTTCTATAGAAGGGTAGGGTTTTTCCTGGAAATGTAGAAGACCGGGGAGATTTCGGGCTGGAGAAACTGGGGACGGGGAATATGTTGGCAAAGCTTAGGACAGCGGGGCGTTTTGTTGTGTTGGAGAGTTGCAGATCAGCAGAATTTTGTCCTGTGAAAGTAGGAGCTGTGTCTTGGGAGTGGTGGCGCAGCGGGAAGGGAACAGCGGAAGGATGCGGCCAGGCAGTGACAGTGCGGTCATGGAACCCTGTCTCCCAGAACGTCGTTTACGCAGCCATGGAAATCTTCTTTCTTCTTAAAGCAGTTGTCTTCACCAGTTGTGGATGGATTTGTGGATTGGTGGTTGGGGTGGGGGCTTGTGAGGTTGGTGACGTCATGTGGCTGTCACATACAGCTCGTGAGTGGTGAGGACTGAGGGTACAGGCCCAGTGACCCTTGGGCCAATTGGACGGAGGGGCACAGAAAATGACGCCAGGAATGCAGGGGAATGTGCATGGCTGTGTGGAAAGAATGTGTTGGGAATGTGGCATGAAGTGAATGAGCAACAGCAGCAGGACTCGGGTGGGCGCCTGGCAGGAAATTTGGCAGGCCCAGGTCCTTTGCTTGTATTATCTGCGAACTTCGTCCTGGGTTTGAGATCTCTTTTGTAAACCTTTGCCTTGGTGGCCCATCCTTGACAGCAGCGGGCTCAGGGCGCAAATAAAAATAGTGCTCAAGGAGACCACACGTGGGGCACCTTAGGTAGTGCATTGCGGCCACCAGAAGGCCATGCCTTTAGAAATAAACACTGCCAGTTTTACATGTTGCATTTTGAGGCGCGGGCCAGTCAGTGATCACGATCTGGGACGAGAGTTTGGTTCGCATTGCAGAATCACATGTCCTGGCATCATTTTCCACGATTGGGACTCTGGAGATGGGAACATGCCACCTGGACATATTTCGCTGGTCATTGAGGATGACAGCCTTGTAATTAATCCTGAACTCGTCATGCACTGTTGACATTTAATTCTTTGAGTATTTCCTTCGTGCAGCCATTGAGCAGTGACAGGTCCAGTGTGCAGATCACTTTGGATAACTTTTCTCGCGTTTTCAACGATACAATGTTGGAAGGTTCGTTCCAGTAAGTGAAGAAAAGCATGTGCCACAATGCCCAACCCCCCTGCCCCCCACCCCCCACCCCCCCACCCCCCCCATCCTATAGTGCCTGAAATATCGGTGGGAAGGATGGCTGAAATATCGCTGGGAAGGTGGGTTTCCGCCCTCCTGCCCACCCCACACTCACCCCCCTTGCTGAGCACGAGATTGTTGTGAGATCATTTCCCATGAAGCGCAACGTGACATAGAATGCAGCAGGAAAGGACACAGCACACATTGGCATACATGGAATAACACGCACATTCAAGGGGATGCGTATGAGCAGAGGTTGGGGGCCATATGTCTGGTTCCGATGTGAGTTACGACATTGGTCCCAAGGTCCTATCTGCGTGTACGCCCTGATGTGTTGCAAGGCAAGCGATCTTCCATGCGTGGCAGCAGCCCTCCCCTTGCCGTTTCACTTTGCAAGAAAGGAAGACTACTTGGTGATCAGCGGGGCGATGGTGCCGACAGCACGATGACAAAGCAGACAACAGTAGGGCGCATTGCAGCACGCATGCTGCTTCAGGAATCGTGCCTCCTCTCAGTGCCCCAAAACGACAAGATCGGTCAGTGTAGCACTGCGACGCAAAAATCGCGCCAGCTATCCCCGGCAAGAAGGAAGCGTTTCGTTTTGCCATTAGTTGTTGCCAGGTGGCAATCAGTGGAATTCACTAGCAGCATATTGCTTTGCGAGCGACAGCACCTCTGAGCCTCGAAATTGTGTTGAGGCGGTGCTTGGAATTATCAAATTGCAGCTTCGCGCAACATGATGGCAAAGTACTTTAAACCACAGTCACATCTCTTTCCCAAACAGTTGATGCTCGTGCCGCGTCCCCACATTGACTGCAGCTAAAAAGAAAGGGCTTTATTCACGGCATTTCGCGTCACATCAGTTGGCGCACTGCACCAATGCCACATCCTACCGTATTTCCGCGCAGCTCAAGATGGAAAGGCGTTACGATACACTCTGGACGGCTTGCCATTCTTTCTACAAAACGCACTCATCCCGGATCCAATTTGATACACCCCGCGGGTCGACTAACGCACGTCCACCACCGACATTTCCGAGGCACTCGTCGGGGCGCCTTCCCCCCTGGTAGGTTCCGCGGAGATGGACTTGACAACCTTGAACTTGGTGCTGATCACCCGCGAATTTAGCAGCACTCGGTATGGCCAGGTGAGGAGCAGAAGGGAGGCGATGTAGAACACGGCGGGGTACAGCCACCAGGGCCTTTCGTTGATGTCCCGCAGCGCCAGGACGCTGTCGCGGAAGCCGTCAATGTCTAGCGTGTCATTCATTTCGTAGAAATCGTCGCGGTGGCGATTTGCTGCCACGAACCGGGCCCTGTTCTCTTGGAAGGACTCCCGCGTGTATCTGTCCAGGTACCCCTTTTCCTGAGATGCCGAACAAGGCGGGAGCTGAGAAACGTCTATGTAGAGATATATCTACATATACATGTCGTATATCCCTACGACATGCTGAATTTCTACATTAGGGAATCGCCTCAGCGCATTCCAGTCCTTTTGAAGAGCGCAACTTTGAAGCAATCACCACGGAAAGGGCTCCACGGGACTTGACATCCCTGAAGTGGCTTGCAGGCGCCAGCGCAGGCACTGTGCTATCCAGCTCCCGGATACTGGTATGAGACCTACATATTGTGTCTCAACAACTAATGAACTATCCTGGTGCGGAGAAGTCTGCGTGGTACTCTGCGTCAAGCTGTTACCAGCAGACTCCTTCAGACAATGGTCGTCGCATGTGGCAGTAGCATGCACAAACATTATGCAAAACAGTTTCAGGCATATATGCCAACCACAGACAGCATATATGCCAACATAGGCATATATGCACAGGCACATACACAAGCATACACAGGCATATATGCCAACGTTGTGTAGAAACATATTCTTATCTCAATGCTAACGATACAATAACATAATAGTAACATCATTGCTCAAGATACACATGATGACAACCGCGAGACTATCGGACGAGCGACCAGATGGTACGCCTAGAGAATAGAGGGCATAGACTCAAGGCAGTGGAGAGAAGGCGTCACCTTCTGTATTTTATACATGTTTTCTCTTTTCTTTTACTTTTCTTGAATTTCCATGTGCATTTCAACTATGCGCTGGACAGATGAGTCAAAAGAAGGGCTATTTTCGTGAACCTAATAACGAAAAAGACTTTACATCGCATTTCTGGAGAATCGGTCCCAGACATTGCAATGAAGTACGACAAAATTTCTTCATGCAGTTATTCAACAAATGCTCTCGAGGTTGCGCATCAACGTGCTGATTGCGTCGAAATGCAGCGATCGGTTGCACCTTTATCAGCCTCAGTTTGGCCATTTCGTAGTCCTCCAAGCCCGAAACCGAACCGGACGTGTCCTTCCATGTGTGAAAGTGAAAACTTTCGCTGCCAGTCCATGTCGTCACCTGCAACAGCAGCATTGCATCATCAAATGGCCAGCTATCAAACGCCTATTTCGGCATTCATTCCGCGAATCCATACATCAATCGAATAAGATATCTACCTGCCCAATGCACAATCAATGGCTGAGTATATCAACATACCACCAAGTTCACAGACATACATCGCACTTTCTTCTCATTTACACCTGCAGAAAACAGACTGTTTGCGATGCCAACTGCGATGACATTAGACACGAATTGATGCCATCACAGCCCCTTTTATGCCATCCCACTCACCGTGACGGCATCAATTTGCGTCAAAATGGCATCGCAGCTGGCATCGCAAACATGATGTTTTCTACCAGTGTTAGCTTGAGATTCAATTCTGGGTTGAGCGCGCCACCCTTTCCTCGAATGTATTGGCTGAGCGTCCGAAACCGTTTTCAACTGTTTGAACTTGGCGTTGCTTTAACGCCACAATTAGAATGCGAGGCAGGACCATTCGTTGTTGTCGCGCCAGTGTATCGGTGGACTCATTAGATCGGTCAAACGCCCCTGGTACGCGACTTCTGGGGTTTTGTGACAGTTGGCGAACTTTTGCTGCATATCATGTATCACTTTGCCCCAGCGCCTCCACATCGCAGAGATGCGCGACGCGAGCGCAGTTACAGTCCATGCAACGATATGCACTAAAAAAAGGGCCAAATAACACGTGTTCAATTGTGTACGAAATTTGCGGGTTTGTGTCATTCTTGTGTTCTTAACGTGCAGAACGTTGGTGAAATGTGTTTTCTGTGCGTTCGCAGAAGTGTTATTTCGCCTTTTTTTCCCTTGTGATGTGCATTCATCCATCCACCATTAGATGAAAGCGGTCGCGATACCCTTGGCGCCGCATGCTTCTATGACCCAGTCACTGGCAGCAGCAATGATAGGAGCACGAAAGTACAAGCGATGGCAATAACTTATTGCCAATAAGTTCATTCTGTTGCGCTTGATCATTAGAGCATTGAACGCAACAGAGCACCGTGATGCATTCGACACTCCTGCACAGAAAAGTAACGCATGGCCGACCTTTTGCGAAGTAACATGAAAAAAACAAAAAACAACGCTATGGAAAAAATGTGAAGCAAAAACCGTAACGGCAAAATTTCTGATGAAGAAGGGTTAAGGAATTTTTACGGTACATCCCCGTGTCCTTCACTCCCCCCTTCAGGTAGTCACCTTCTCAGTGTATGTCTGTGTCATCGTGTTGCCGGTCGAGTCCGTGGTGGTGCGCACGCGGACCTGCAGGTTGTAGCAGCTCATGTGGTAGCCCACTACTGGAGGTGTGCTCTTCAGACGATTGACGAAATCCACCGCAGACTCCGTCGACAGCACGTTGTGAACGAAGGAGCGCGTGGAGCAGTACCACACCTGGAGGTCCATTAACATGCTCGCAATGATGGTGAACTGTTTGGCATCATTTGTGCTTCAGCGATCAGGATAATTTGAATATTTTTCAATTCAATGTTAAGGGTGAGTAATGGTTTTGAATCATTTGTCGTTGCTGCAGTCGCAAGCCCAGTGAGTGCAATTATGCCGGCCCCTGCATGACGTCTTGTAATTTTACAAAAACAGGCTATGAAACTGGCAGATTTTTGTCGTACAGAAATGCTCCGGCTCTTAAATAAGATATAAATACATTTAGGTATATTTAAACACTATTAAATAAGACAGCACACGCAGACTCAGGCAATCCGGGGAGCAGCAGTCAGATGTGCCGCAGCGCGCAGAAACGACCACTTTTTCGACTACGTTGTCGTCCTTGCTGAGGGCGAGGTGAACGCTATGTTGCGAGCGTATGATGGGAAAGAGAACTGCTAATACAGCGAATTCATCATGTAACCTGGGTGCCTGAATGCACCGTGAAAATGCATAAATGTAAATGCGAAAATGGCCTTTTCAGGTTTTGCGCGCTTTGACGAACAAAGCGCAAAATTGAAATTGTTCCTCTGAGCGTAAAGAACAAGCCCCTGGATCTATGCGTGGTGCAGTAAAAGAAACATCCAAACCATTTTCCTGAAGGAAAGAGTTGGATAGGTGAAATTCAAGATCGCTAATATTTTGAAATACACTGATTTGCTATACGTTGAGTTTTGAACTATTTTGCAACGCATTACGTGTACTGTACACAAAAAATGCAAAATGCATTCGCGCCTCGGGGACATTCCCAATCATGCTCGGTCAACCCCTCCCCATCTGCCGAGCTCCGCGCTCAGTAGCACAGGTGTGTTTCGGAGTTGCCGGAAAACTATTTCAGGGAATCCAACACCAAATCAGCATCGATGCCAAGTTTCCTAGACACACGCATAAGCAACGGCGACTTTATGCGGCCCCAAGACTTACCTCCATCACGTACAAAATGATCGAGAGGCAAAGGAAAATAACGCCAACAAGGAATATGGCGAATGATGTGCCGTACTCGGAGGCGTCCCCCAAGATGACCATGAAAGTAAAGGCGATGATGGAGATTGTGGCAACCAGGCATTTCCAGTGGGCGACCCATCCCTGACGCTCGCTCAGCATGCTTGGCTCGTCCTCGACCTTCATGACGATATCAGCAGCAGCCTGCGCCCGCCACGATCCCTGTTATGTTTTCAAACTAGTTCAGCCTGCACTTCATTTGATTCAAATGGGTCCACCATGATTTGCCGTCGCTTTTCGTTTGAGGACCCAATTATGCAGGTTTGTCTCCTGTGGAGAGCCTGGTGCGTCCTTCATCGCAACACTTTGGGGCAGAAGCACGTTGTTACTTCGGCGCGTCGAAGCAATGCAAAATACGGGGCCATCGCTGCATCCCCGGCAATCCTGCTGCAGAGCGTCAAAGCCCCCGCACCGCCAGAGCCCTTTTCGTGCTTAGAACATTGCTGGAACATCATTATCAGCGTGATTCAATCCAGCCGCAAACGAAGCTTTGGTCTCGTAGTTCACGTCTCTTGTGGACCCTGTCCTGGGCGTTGCTGAACCGTTGATCTCACTGAATAGCACAAGGTGGGGCCCAGCCACAGTCGCCCGATCGTTGCCCCAGTCCGCGCCATGGGCCCACGAATCCACGAATCCAATCAATCAAATAGTCAATGACCACGTGAGCATTCTGGTTGCCACTCCCTTGCAGTGTTAACACGCGTAATGCTACGCAACACGAATGTTGGTGATGATTAATTGTGGATTACCAAATAAGCCAGCCACCTTGGCAAGCTTCTCACAGAACCTCTCCAACCCCAGGAAGCTTCGCCATTTATAACCGTTGTTACGTGATCACGTAACGAACAAAGGGAGCCAAGCGGAAGTCGTTGCCATTCACGGCGGTAGGCTGCGATTGTCCCACCTCCCTGTAGCCGACGCCCTGCCGCCCAGCGGCGACGACATGACGCACGCGAGAGCCGGCTGGCGGAGGCGCATGGCGGCCGGGCAGCCACCGGACGACGGAGGACCGGGACGATGTCCCAATCCTGGAGGCCTCCGATCGGGGCTTGGGGGCGAGTCGCCCAGCGAGTGCACACCGCCGGCGCGATCCACCGGGCCGGCAAACCGTGATGGAAAACGTTCGGCGCGCTGAGACACCGCAAGTGCGCCGTCGACCACCCTACTAACAGCTAGTCACAGCTACTCACAGACTTACTCTGACGCCGCATGCCAGACCTACTCTCATCGCCCCACCACCCCATGCTCCGGTGGGCTCAATCGGGCTCTCGTCCGGTGCCGATCGCGAAGGTCCCTTGCGCGCAACGATACCCACCCACCAGCACCCCGTGCCCATCCAGCCGGCCTTCGCTCGAGCCCCCGCCCACCCTCGCGAGGCGCGCAACGGCGCGATGCGCCACACAGCGCGACGCGCAGCGATGTGCATATGCATTGGACGATGCATCGGACGCGCAGCAAGTCTCCCGCTGACGCGATCGGGATCCGCGGCCGGCGCCCGAGCTTGCGGCAAAGCGATCGTGCTTGCCAATCCCAAGCGGGAGAGAGGACCGCATAAAGTCTGTCGACGCGCGCCGGCAGCCAGGCCCTCACGAATCGACCATCGCTTCTCGGCCAGCCAGGCCCTCACGAATCGACCATCGCTTCTCGGCCACCACCCGGTCTTGCAGGACGGCAGGGAGGGCCGAAGAGGGGATCTCGGGCAGAGACATCGGCTTGCGTCGGTCACACTGCACCCCGCGAAGGCATCCCTGACTAATGAGTCCACCGGCGACCTCACCCGCTGTGGAGGTCGGGGCAGTGCAGGCGGGCGGGAGGCTTGCTGTCGCGAGGAGGAAGGGCTTCGGCGAGTTGAGTGTGGGGCGGGGGGGAGCAGTCGGCAGTTTGGCCGCCCGCGGGTTGGGTGGTCGACGATGTTGGCCGTGTGAGGGAACCGCCTGGAATTCGTGTTGCGCGGCTAACCATGCGTGCATCTGTTACGTGGCATACGCACATGACATCCGTCACGCGGCGGCGCCACAGCGGCGCATGCTTCCATTGCTTTTTGATGTGTGGTGCTCCATTCTGTGGTCGAGCGTCCATTGCACCTGCAGCGGCCCCGGTTCGTTGTGCCGGATTCAGGGCCGATGTCGCGACATCGGCCCGGGTTCGCGCCAACCCGGGGTGAACGTTGCAACGGGTGGCGGTGGGGAAAGCGCCAGATGACGCAGAGCGGCGGTTTCGGCTCCTGCACAGTTACTACAGCCCCGTGCGCTTGTTGCCTTCACCACTGGCAGAAAAAGGAGCAAATGACACTTTTTGCGAAAACATACGTATTCATTTCATCAGCGTTCTGTGCGCTGAAAATACGGAAATAACCCAAACCCGTAAGCTTTGTACACGTTTGAACACGTGCTATTTGGCCCTTTTTTCCCCTAGTGAACCGTGCTGTCAAGGCGTTCGTGGCATCTAAGCCGAATTACGGCAGGGGATTCGAGCGCGGCAAAGTGCTGGTGCATGTGTTGACATTGCAAGCGGATTGTCATTTGCAGAAGAAGTGGGCGTTTTGATGGCCAGCCGCAAAGCCAGCGCTTGCGCCGTCGGGAATTTTTCCTACCCTCAGCAGCACGAACAGGCACATCCCCGCCAATTATCACACTGCGCAAACGGCATCGGGGCAGCCACCACATGCAAGGTGAAAAAGGCTTCATTTCATGTCTTACTGGGGCGATTTCAGTGGGCAAATCAGCATATTGCTCGAGGGGACCACGTGTAGGGTCTTCTTAGGTAGCGGGCTGCAGCCACCAGGGGCCGATGCTGCCATCCCTCGGAAACATGCAGTGCCATTTTCATATGTTGCATTTTGAGGAACGGGTCGGTAGGTGGGAGTTTGGGCTGGATCGCAGATTCACACAACCTGACGTCACTTGCCAGGGTTTGGAAATTTGGAGACATGTCATCTGGGGATACGTCGCTGGTCATTGAGGATCTGCCAACTATTCCTGAGCCCGTCACCCGCTGTTGACTGTGAATTGTTTGAATATTTCCTTCATGCAGTCAGTAAGTCATTATTCGGAATAATGAGAGGTGCAGTCTTAAGTGCACTTTGTGTACCCCTTCCTCGTGCTTGCGATGGTACGAAGCTGGAAATTTCGTTGCAGTTAACATAGTACAGAAAATCATGAAATATTGCGTGCGCTAGTGCCCGCGCTGTCCCTGAGCAAGAAACGTGTGTGAGACCATTTGCCATGAAAAGCAACATGACACAGAATGCAGTACGAAAGCGCACAATGCACAGCGCCACGCATGGCAACGGTGCGTGCACTCGAGCGAAACGCATGAACAGAGGTGTGCAAATATCCCCTTCCGACGTGGGTCTCAATGTCAGAGTTCGATATTCGTCCCGACGTCCTACGCCTATGTACGCCAGGGTGCGTAGCAACGCAGGTGGTGCTTCACACACGGCAGCAAACCTCCCTCTGCATTTGAGCTTACGTTGACTGGTTGCAACACAGTCGGAACTGAAGAAATTGTAAAGGACAGTATGAAAGCAAAGAAAATTTGCCATTAATTGTGCGTTCTACTGACTCCGACAGTTGGAACATCGCAACTATATCGCTTTGTGGGGGGCTGCAATCGTGAGGCGATGGCGCTTCGTTGAAGCTCTAGCGGCGTTATGGCAAAGTAATTTGAAACACAGTAACCTCTCTTTCTCCAAGAACTGATGCTCGTGCGGCGTCCGGGCATTGACTGCAGCCAAAAGGGGATGGCTTTATTTTACAACGATTTGGCCTCGCGTCAGTTGGGACACAGCGTCATTGCACATTCACCGGCATTATCATGAGGCTTGCGTTCTAAAAGCGCTGCAATAAACTCTAGACAGCTTTTTTTCTTTTCACACAGAAAATCTTTCTTCCCTGGATCCAAATTTGACACACGCCGCCCCCCACTAGCGCACATCCACGACCAACATTGCAGTCGCCCTCGCCGGGGCGGTACCCCCTTTGGGAGGTTCCGCTGAGATAGACTTGACGATCCCGAATTCGGTGCTGGCAACCCGCGAATTGAGCAGCATTCGGTATGGCCAGGTGAGGAGCAGCAGGGAGGCGATGTAAAACACAGCGGGGCGCAGCCACCAAGGCCTGTTGTTGATGTCCCGCAGCGCCAGGACGCTGTTGCGGAAGCCGTCAATGTCCAGCGTGTCCTCGATGTCGAACGACACGTCGCGGTGGCAATTCGCCTCCACGAATCGGGCCCTGTTCGCTGCGAAGGACTCGCGCGTGTAGCTGTCCATGAACTCCTTTTCCTGAGACACGGCGCAAGCACTGGCTGGAGAATCGTATCTGTGGAACTTGCTATAAACATTATACGTTTGGGATGACTTCGATGCATTCCATTCTTTTTAGCAGCTTATCTGCAAAGCGATTGTCAACAAAAGGACTCCTAGGCGCTTTCCATGCCTGGAGTGGCCCGCTTGAACCACTGCTGGCGCTGTGCTATTCAGCCCCGGATACTGGTACGAGAGCTACATGTTGCGTTTCAAGGCCAATGGAGTTAGCATATTCATATGGAGAAGCTTTCTGACAAGGGCTTGGCGCAGAGTATCACACACGGCCCTCCAGCCAATGGCCGTCACATGTGGCCACTATATACATGCGCATCATACCAAAAAATTGCAGGCAGGCCAAACTTGAGCAGAAACATGATCTTATCTTCACATCAAAACTACAATAACAGTATAGCAACATCGCTCCTCGAGATACACCCAGCAAGTTACGTGCAAAGCACCTTGAGACGCCTTGAGACCGAAGAGTCCAGATGGTGCATCTAGGGAATAGAGAGAAGAGACCTAAGAGAGTGGAGAGAACACTTGGGTTTCTGGTCCTTATTCGTATATTCCCTTACATCTACATTGCTTAAATTTCCCCGTGCGCGTCAATTATATGCTGGTTAGATGAATCGGGCAAAAGGCTGTATTAGGGAGCCGAATGAACAGAAGAGGCTTTGCACCGCATTTGTTTTTGAGAATGGGTCTCAGACATTGTAGTGGATTAGGACACAAGCTCTTGATGTAAGGAATCAACAGAACATTCCCAAAATAGAGCATCAATATGCCAATCACGTAAAAGTTCAGCGCTTATGCGCACCTTGGACAGCCGCAGTTTGGCCATATCGTAGTCCTTCAAGCCCGACACCGAACCGGACGTGTCCTTCCATGTGTCAAAATGGAAATTTTCGCTGCCGTTCCACGTCGTCACCTTCAACAGTAGTATATGAGTCAAATGGCCAGCTAATCAATGAAACACCCATTTCAGGCATTCATTCCGCCAATCCACGTGGCAATCTGCGGGCCAATCACCCTGCCCTTTTTTCAGTCAAAGGATGAGCGCCTCAACATACTACTAAATCCACAGACGAAGTCACGCTTTCTTCCATTTGCATTGAGGCAAATTCTGGGTTGAGGACGCCACCGGCACCTCGAATGTGGGGGCTGAGTTTCCGACCCCTTTTTAAAACCATATATCCAGTATTTGAACTTGACGCTGTTTCAATATCAGTATTCACCAGCGACAGGGCCATTGCGCCTTGTCGGATTTGTATGCACTGGTGCATTCATTCGCTCGATCTACTGCTTTCGGTACGTCCCGCTTGAGATTCTGTGACAATCTGCGAATTGCTACAGTATACATTAAATGGATCTGCCCCAGCATCCCCACATCGCAGAGACACGCGACCCAAGTGCCCTTCCAGTCTATGTGCGGGGTGCGGACGCTAGTCAGGGGACATTGGGACATTGGCAGAGTCTTTCTTGTACTTTTCAAACCCGCAAGGATATGCGCATTGTTCTACAAGTTCATTCACTGACAATGGCCGTGATCCTCTGGGCGCCGCGTGATCCAAAGGCACATTCACGAGCAGTCGCACTGACAGGGGCGCGAAATATCAAGAGGTGGAAAAAAGCCGATTTGGGTACGCTTGCGAAGCATTATACTGGACGGAATAGACTAGCCCGGCGCATTTATTTCCTCTCTTCAGTCATTCACCTTCTCAGTGTATGTCTCCGTTCTTGTCCTTGTCCCTCCCTGGCCGTCCGACTCCGTGATGGTTCGCGTGCGCACCTCCATATGGTAGCAGCACATGTGGTAGCCCACCACCGGCTGCGTGCGCTTTAGGCGGTTTACGTAATCCACCGCAGACTCCGTCGACAGCACGTTGTGCACGTATGAGCCGGTGGAACAGGTGAATAACTGGTGGTACATTCATAAATTCGCAACAATTTGTCAACTGCTTGCAATTATTTTGCACTTGTTGGACGACTATTGAATATTTGGCTTGTTATCCAAATATGCATTTAAAGGTAATTAACACTTTTCGCTTGCTTGTGCTTTCTTTTGTGAAATGTGCAGGCAGTAAAATCATGTCCGTCCCTGCACACATTTTGGTCACAATGGTAGAAACCTCTCAGAAGGCGACAGTTTCGCAATTTATTTAAGCTCCTTTCATACAGTATTCAAGTCCCTCTCAAATACTACAGTGCCCTGATCAATAACAAATAGACTACTAAAACAGCACCAACTTTACAGCCTTAATCCCGCACCCTACATCCGAGCACATTTAAGGAACAGGATTGAAGGCCCTGAAGCCTGAAGTCTGAGTCATAACCTCAAAATTCCAGGGTCTTAGGCTCCAAGAATTGCCAGAGAAAACGTACCAGGATTCATTATTACTACTATCAAGTTTGGTTATACTTCACATATAAGTCGGTGCTGCTTGATTTGCAGAAGGGTTGGCATCAGATGTAAGTCATCAGCCTTTTTCTTGGGTTCAAAATCAATTCGATACAGGGTTTAGCGCGATTTAACACGGCGCTAATAATTCCCCAATTGTGGTTTTACATTTCTAAACCTAGATGAAATACACCATGGCTAAATTGAACTAATTCTTCTGGCACTTCTGGAGTGGTTAGCAATGGTCACGGGTTTCCCGAAGCCGACCGTGACCGCAGATCCCCACTGTGATGATAACACACACACAACGCACAATGGTGACATACATGGCTCAGGGAAGCGACACATTTATGCAATGTGTGAAAAATTGAAGTCGGATGGATGGACTTCAAAATTTTAACATTCAGACAGTATGTCGTACTACTTCATTTGTACTGCACAGATGACAAACACGCGAAACACAGGGACATCCCCAAGCCACGCACGTTCACCAACTCCCCATCTGCACCGAGCTCTAAGCTCAAGCGTACGTGTGTCCCTCCAAGCAATCAGAAACAGTTCTCAGAAAAGTGACACAGAAGCTGCATCGCTCCCACGTTTCTGAACGTATGCGCGGGAAATAGCGACCTTCGGTGGCCCCCAGACTTGCCTCAATCAAGTAGAAAATGACCGAGATGACGAGCAGAGCGATTCCAACAACGAACATGACGGATGTTGTGCCGTCCTCGGAGGCGCTCCCCACGATGGTCAGGACGGCAGAGGCGATGATGGCAATTGTGGCCACCAGGCATTTCCAGTGCACTGCGACCCCATGCCGCTCGCGCAGCATGTTCGACTCGTCCTGAGCCGCCATGATGATATCTACAGTGGCCTGCGCACAGAATGGCCCCAACTCTGTGTTCCAACTGGCTGAGTTTGCATTTCATCTACTTTGAATGCGTTCACAATGGTTGGACTTGCATTCGCTTTTCGTTTGAGCACCCCTTTGCGTGCGAGTCTGCCTGTCGTGGAGTTTTGCATCTTTTTCGTCAGAACGCTTCGTGGCAAAAACACGCGGTTACTTCAGCGTATCGAAGTCATCCAAAATACGGTACCATCGCCGCATTGCCGTCAAATCCCGCTGCAGAGCGTCAGGAGGCCATCCGCACCACCAGAGCCCTTACACTGTCGAACACTGCCAACACATTATTTTAAATGTGATGCAATCCCAACTGCCAACGAACCTTTGCACCTCGAAGCTTTGAGCGCTTAAGCGGCCGCATTGGGGGAGCGGCGCGGGCGCTGCTATGTTGTTGATCTCAGCGACTGACACCAGGTGGGCCAGCCACGGCCACCTCATTGGTGCCCATATTTGCGTCATGCGCCCACGAATCCACGAAGCCAAACAAGCAAAAACAGTCAATAACCGCATGAGAATTGTGAATTAGAAAGCCAACAGGGCCAGTTGGCCACCATTGAGAAGCTTTGTCGCGGGTTCCCCTCAGATCCCAGGAAGCTACCTGAGGGGAAGTCGGGGCGGTCACGTGACAGACGAGGCGAGGCAAGGGGAACCCGACCCCATTCGCTGCCTCGCTAGGCGGGGGGCTCCTGTGCAAGCATTTGCGGTTGCCAGCAGCGACGACACGATGCACACGAGAGTCAGCCGCCTCGGGGGTGGGGTGGGGGGTGGGGGTGGGGGGGGGGGCATGGCGGCCAGGTGGCCTCCATACGACAGAGCGGAATGAGACGATGTCCGAATCCCAGACGCCGCTGGTCGAGCCTTCCGCGAGCCCCTGAGTGAAGAGACAGAGGCCGCGATCCACGGGACCGGCAAACCGCGGTCGAAAACGCTGTGCTCCCCAGACACCGCAATAGCGCCTTCGCCCATACTCATAGCTAGTCTCATGCCACCCCGACGTTGGATGCTGGACCCTGCTTTCATCGCCCCACCCTACCGCATACTCCGGTGCGCTCAATATGGCTCTCGTCCCCGTGCCGATCGCGCTGCCCCCCGGCGCAACAGTCCCCGTCCAGACAGACCAGATGACAGCGCAACCGGCCACCTTGCCAGCCTTTGTTCGAGGCTCCCGCACACGCCTTCCCCATTCCCGCCTCCCGCGGCCACCCCTCGTGATGCGCACCAGCGCGAAGCACCACACAGCGCGATGCGCAGCGGACGCGTGGCGAGCCTCTCGCCGGCGCGATCGGGATCCAGGGCCACCGTCCGAAATTGGGACAAGGCGGCAATTTGCCGGTCCAGGGTGGAAGAGAATTTCGGGATGCCCCGCGACAGACATGGGCAACCATGCCTTCGCGAGCATGATTCGGCCATCCCTCCTTGGTCACCGCCCGAGCTTGCGGGACGACGGGGAGGGCCGAGGAGGGGATCTCAAGCGGAGGCTGCCGGTTGCGCCCACCACCCTGGAAGCCGCTAGTGCACCATGGCTAAGGTGTCCACCGGCGACCTTACCCGCTGTTCAGGCTTCTGTGGAGGACGGGGCAGCGTAGGCGGGCGGGAGGCGTGCCGTCGTGGCGGCCGCCCGAGGTGGAAGGGCCTCGCCCAGCAGGTGGGAAGCGGTCGTCGCTTTGACCCCCCGTTGGGAAGGGCGGGGGATCGACGATGTTGCGCCTGGCCGGGAAGCGGATGGTACAGATTCGTTCTTGGCAACCAGCCACACGTGGTGCGCCCATTGCGTGAAATGTTGTCACTTGCTTTTTGACGCAAAGGTTCATTGATTGGTTCATCCATTGAACCCCAACGCACCAACAGGAGCCAGGCTCGTCATGCAGGATTTCAGGGCCGATGTCACGAACCCCAGCTGAATGTTCGGCGGACGGTGGAGAATGTACCGGAAAGTGTACAGCACTTTTGGTTTTCACGTTTACTTTTACGTTTTTACGGCTCCCTGGGACACCAAGGTTACGCGATGAAAGTTGCGTACAATGATCAGTCCTCCGCACCTGCAACATAATGTCCAACTCGCCCTTGGCAAGGGCACCATCATCGCCCTTGCCAAGGGCGAAATGATGGTGTTTCAACAAAACTCGTTTTCTGCCCCTTCCAGAGCGTCTGGCTGCCAGCCCCAGACTCCGGAAGTCTGTATGTACTGTCCTTATGTACACCGGTTTACGTTGTATTACGTATTTTACGCATTTTTACGCGTAAGAACGTAAATACGATCAGTTCTCACGGCGTAAAAAGGCAGCCTGGTACAGCATTTGGGCCTTCGCACAGTTTCCTGCGGCTGTGCATGTTTGTTGCACTTACCGCAATGCTCAGGCGTTCGTGGGATCTTGGACAAATTACGGCAGCAGGTTAGAAGTTCCCAAAGCGCCAGTGCATGTTTTTGATAACGCAAAATCGGATTGCCAGCTGCAAAAAAAGTGGATATTTGATGGCCATGAGCAAAGTCAGTGCTTGCACTCTCAAGAATCTTTCCTACCTTCAGCAGCCCGAACACGCGCATCCCCACCAATTACTGGCCTGCACAAACGGCGTCGTGGCAGTCACCACATGCAAGGTAAAAAAAGGCTTCATTTCATGTCTTGCTGCGGTGTCCATGATAGAGGCGATCTCAGGGTGCAAATAAACATATTGCTCGAGAGGACCGTATGCAGGGCGCGCCTTAAAACTAGCAGAAAGCAGCATACTTGCGATGCCATTTTGGCACAAATTGATGCCATCACAGCCAATATTTGTGCATCGCAATCACAGCGATGGCATCATTTTCTGTCAAATGGCATCGCAGTTGGCATCACAAACATGCCGTTTTCTACCGTTTTCTATAAGTAGCGCATTGCAGGCATCAGGGGCCCATGCCATCGCCCCTTCGAAATAAGCACGCCAATTTCGAGGCACGGGCTGTTCGGTGATCATGGCCGTATGACCATGATGATATCCCATGCATGGGAGGTTGGGCTGCATTAAGGATTCACACGCCCTGGCGCCATTTCCCAGGTTTTGGGATCTTGGAGACAGGAACATTCTACCTGGAAATATTTCGCTGGTCATTGAGATTTGCTACCTATACCGAAGCTTGTCGCTCGCTGTTTATATTTAGTTGGTTGAGCATTTTGTTCATGCAGTCAGTGAATAATGACAGGTGCAGCTTGCAGCTCACTTCGTATACCGTTTCCCATGTTTGCGATGATACGGCGCGGGAAGATTCGCTGCAGTTAAAGGAGGACAGTGTGTCACACACGCTGTGAGCACTAATCCCCACCCTGTTCATGATCAGGAAACGTGTGTGAGATCATTTGCCATAAAACGCAACATAGCACAGAATTTTGCGTGAAAGAACACAATATACAACGGCACGCACGGCAACAGTCCGTGCCAAGGCTGTAAAATTGTTGCAAGGTAGTTACTTAAAAGTGCTGACGGCCAGTCGAACGCCGAAACATGTGGCAACAGAATACTTCATTACACAGCAACCGATATAAGTATTGCATACGTGCAAATTTGAGCTGAGAGAATACTGCTTTAAATTTCGTTAATTTGCATACTACGCGCAATGGAAAAATGACGATGAGTGCAAGCAAAGCAGTACCATGCAGAAAGCCGTTTCATGAAATGACGCTTTCAATACAGAAATCTTTGTACAATGTCATTGTCTATTATTTTGCAAAGCTACAAAATAAACATGGCAAGTGGTATTTCGTAATCGCCAGAAATGATGAAAATCTACAATTTATTTTCTCGCATTGTCCATATGTGTGTTCCAAAACATGTACATCCTCAGTCCCGAGTCAATCGTCATCATTTTTGAACATTTCGCTGCAGAAGCGGTATATGTACCACAGAAAGGATCAAATAGGAGTGTTTTCGTCCCAAAAACACTTGGAATCCTGTTTGTAAAAATATGAAAAACCTACATTTCTCTTAGCGTCATTCGAGGCTGCACTTGATTTGTACAAGAGCAACGCATTAAATTTCCACTTCCAATGCTTATGCGTGCAGTTCTGTCCCATCATTGTCCTCGCGTATGGCAAAGCGATGTCATGATTGTCGCCTGCTTAAAGGCGGCGTCCACCACGAGTAGAACCGAAACAAAACACTCTCGACTGTGTGTGGAGCTTAGTTATAGAGGCCGTGTTTGCGATGTCAATATACGATATCCGGACTCTCCGCACTCGCTGATTTCCAGTGCACGGACCTGCAAGCACAGGGAAAGCTCAAGTTTCAAGACGCTTAAGCTAGGACCTGTGAGGGCTATCGCTCCAAGGCTGTGCTGCAGTCCTTCTTGGATCTTTCTGCTTCGATTGGTGCCTGAATCAGGGCTAAGAATTCTCGCAGGAGGGCTCGTGCTGGCAATGTCCATCAAAGACGGCAACTCAAGTAGGCACAGGACATTATTAAGGTACTCTTTTCAGTAATGAAAATCGTCCAAACTACATGGATTTTGTACGGGGCTTGGCGCACAGCTGCAAACTACGCCTGTGTTCAATTCCTTGCTTACATTTTGCATTGAGCTGCAGCCTATCTTGTCTACATTTACGGGAAGATCGTGGATTCACCATGTAACCACTCTTTTCGTGTCCAATCCTTCGAAATTTCGTAGCCAGGTCAATTTCGCCATTCCATTCTAAAGGCCTTATGTAGTCGTCCACTGCCTGATGCGGATGGTGGCCATTGCTTCTCTTGCACAACTTTGAGAGGCTTGTAAGACCTATTCTATTTCCCTGGAAGACGGAGGTGGAGGCCTGGAGCTGACACATGGTCCAGAAAGACAGTTCCAATATAGGCAATTGGCTTGCATTGCCTTGCATTGCAGCTGCAAGTGGCAAACGAGATCCTTCATCAGGCCTTTCGTAAGGCGTTTTACATCGCCTTCACAAGTGCTGCACCGGCCTTCAGTGTCAATATCGTGGAAGAATTTTCATTGACAGCTTTTTTCGTCGTGACAAAGGCGTGCTCCTCACCGTAAATGCAACGGCTATTTTTGCGGTGACATTGCAAATTCAAGGCGCTCTAGTCTGAGGGCTCGTATTACTTCTGCAAAGTCCTGCCAAGTCCAATGCGCGTAATGGATTACCCTGATTCTGAATACGCAAAAGATTGGGTTCATTTGGTGCAAAGTCTTGTAGTAAATCAATATGAGAGACAAATGGTGCATGTTTTTCCTGGCTGACAATGATTTTGGGACGGAGGAAGTGCCGATTAAGCCCAAAATAGTCCAGTAATCCAATAGCTGTCTATTGCCTGGGACAGCAGACCTGATGCACTCTTGTATGGACTAGTCATGGATTGAACAAATACATTACCTTCGTTGGCCAACCAGTTGACTATGATGGACAGACCCTGGATTGCTTCTCGTCCTCAACGTTGAATTGAAGTCTAGCTATATTCTGGAGCTATATTTTGGAACACCAAACGATGTTCATTAAGTGATCAAATTCCAATCAAATCTTGACCAAATGATGTGTCCTAGAGAGATAGGAAACGTGAAGGGTTTCGGCATCAGTCCACTGAAAAGGGCTTCCATCCTTATTTCTGCATTGCCAAAATGACAGGATACAACACACGTGGATGACGTGGTGCCATTCCATATGACATTTTTCTTTTCCTCTGAACTTGACAAAATAATCACAGGCGCACTTAACAGCAAAAAATCGGCCTCGCCATCGCCTGCCGTCACCACACTGCTTCTGCAAAACGCAGACCTACAAACCTCATTCTTCCAACAACCATGCTCAATTGCATCAACATTCTGATGGAACTCTTTTGGTTGTATTTCTTATGCATGCACCTGATAATGGCAATAAAAATAAGGTGCGAGTGCAATCGCATGAAGCACGTATTGCTCTGGAAGTTTCACGAAAACAGTGTCCATGGATCCTGTACTGTGCGAGGGGTCTCAACCTCTGCAAATTTCGGTCTATTTACGTGTCACAGGGAAGGCAGGAAGGCGGGAATGCCAGAGGCGACAGCGCCACCGACATTCCCTGCGATGGCGGAGGGAGGGTGCGGCGCCCCTTGGGAGGACGGCGGAAGTTAAACGTATTTTCTTGCATATTGACCCTATCCACATGGAGACAGCAATTGCACATAGGCTGTGAACACATGCATATCAGCAGGACTAAGCCCAGAATTAATCTAACTTCTGAACAGGTGCAGTTGATGCCGCATAGGCATGTAGCAAGCTGGGCACATACCCAGATATTGGCCGCTTCGCTTCAAGTGCAAATTTTATTGCGTGCACATTTCTTACGATGGCAGCATCCAAATGCAGGCCAGCTATTGATACCCAATGCGTGAGTTCCGCTTGCGATTACCCCGACAATCCCATTCTCATTTTCCATATCGCGAATGTTGCAGGTGTCAATGACACTTGTTGGTGCTGCACCCTAGGGATTCTGGAAGTTTTAGATCCACGCAATGTGCCGTAGTGAACACCCATTCTGGATTCGATTTCCCCTGACCTGCAGAGACACCATGTAGGGTCAATCCAAGCCTCAGTGTCAGCAAGCATGAAGGTGATCCAACAACACTGTACACTATTTGCAGGACCCTGTACTTTGGACGATATTTACTAGCGAAATGAAGTACCTTAATAATATCCTGTGCCTGCTGGAGTTGTCGCCTTTGCTGGACATTGCTAGCACGAGCGTTCCTACAAGAATCGCCACACGCAATGCTGGGAAATTCACAGCAGCCAGGGGTGTTTTGGAGTTGAACACCCTGAACTTCATTTACAAACAGAGTCACCTCTTGCTTTGCTAAGATTCCGCACTTGCCTACTGGCCGCTGTCCCCCGTCTATGTTCATCTCCCGTTCCACAACATGCCATTCACACTAAAATCAACAGAACAAATCTTTATGCCATATGAAGGGCTTATTAGCCGAAATGGACACAGCCCCACCATCCGTACAACACTGCCCACTGGCATGTGTGGATGAGCTGTGCACCCCATTGGAAGAACACTTTTGATGCCATGCGTGTGAGTTTGGTGCTCCTTGGGAAACCTGATGCGGCATTGTTCACTGTGCTTGCCGAGGGCAGGAACAGTCAAAGCGCGGTTTACTCCGATTCCTAAGGCCTACCGAGATATGTGGATTATGCTGGCCACAGCTTGGTTCTCGCACCGGGTTCAAATAGGCTGTTGCCTGCACTCCGCCGGGGATCATAATATCCGTGGAGGCGACCGCCGATGACCATTCGCAATGGTCGGCCGGCACACCGGATCCAAGGACGGTTCCGACGTGGTCGCATTAGCCAAAAGTCTCCGCAGTGAGCTCGCCAGCTGGCGGACTGGCGGCCACGCAAAGAAGCTGGCCAGAAATGGCGCAACCCACGTGAAGAAATGAGAAGAGGCAAACCCCCTTGCGACATCAACCCCTTGCAGCCAACGTTGTTGCACATGGCCTTGACAACACGGCACCAAAGCAGTGCAGTTGTCCCTCCTCCCCCTCCCACCCCACCCCACCCCCCACCTCCCCTTCCGGGACGCCCGAAAAGAGTACGTGCCTTAGTTATGCCGTGCCGCATTGCTCAAGAACAGAAGGAGAAGCAGAAAAGCAGTCGGACTCCGGCCGGATCCCGCCACCATTGTCGCGCGACTCTCTGGGGCGCCAGACTGGCCCAGCGCCGCGCGGCATGACCTCGAGGAGCCTCGGGGGCGGGACGCCACCCTTGGGCCCGATCTGGAATTACGCGGGCGCGAAATGTAGGAGCGGAGGAAGCTAATTGAAGTGGAATCGAAGGTGAAGGCGTTATGATGTGCTGACGAAGGCAGGCGAGATTAAGGGGTGGCAATCCCCCACTGGAGCCCGTTGGCTGGAGCACATGGTGACGGCTTACAGCGGAGCAAAGGACAACAGTGGTACTTTCCCTCATATCCAGTCCATTCATCCGCGCACTTGAGTGAGTCCCTATTGCCTCGTCACCTTTCAATGCACCCAGCTGTCAATAGCCCTCAATCAGCTCTTACAGTGCAATGCCAATAATCTGGCAGTGGGCCTGGGAGTAGCGTTGATTGTTTTCAAACGCTGGCATGAGATTTTGTTGGCCTCATGCTCAAAACAGCAGCTTACATGCCTTGCAAAAACGTCCATCCATATGTTAGTAATGCCCTGATCATGACGTGAGCTACACCAAATATTCCCCTTTTCGCGCTTCTCCACTTGGATTCAGGCATCCTGTAAGTAACATAATTCAGTTAATTGTTTGTTACCAACAGCCTATGTTGGTGGAAGATTTCAGAGCAAGAAGCTTGTTCTACATGCTTCTTGTCCTCACAGAAGAAAAAAGTGGATGGCTGCAAAACAACAGGTGAATTGCTCCATGCACTCCCACTTGGGAGAACTGCACTTAATGTGCACTTCAACAGATTTACGACATCTCCAGATGTTAGCAGGACACATGGTACTCAATAATAGGCAGAATTTGACACCACTGTACATTGTTTCCTTTAGATGCACACCGAGGGACAATGCGTTGCATGTGCGTGTATACGAGTCTATACGGACATGCCATGTACGATGCTGCGCTGCAGCAAAGATGCAATTAAGTCACTTCAGACCGCCACAGCCCGACATCGCCCTCGACGAGCTTTGGCAATTTCGCAAGTCATTGTTGAGTCCATTGCGAGCAGTGATGCTGATGTCCTGAAGGATTTGATCGCGGGTGGCACGGATAAGACGTCAGTGGATGAAAGGGGACACACCCCTCATGCCCCAAGATTATAGATTTCAGTCGGTCTGGGCCAGAAGCCAGTGCACTGTTCCAAGTACATACGTTCTGAGCAAGACAGCAACGCTCCAACCGGCTGAGGATGTGCTGTTGCAATCCTGATGGGCACCGGTGCGGTTTGCTGACACGTGGATGATGTGCCTTGGGCTTCACCGAAATGAGCTCCCCACATCAAATTTAAAAGCTGTACGCCACAATCAGGTGTATCTGTCATGTTGAAAGTTCCAATTGGACGATATAGCCCATCCACACAACACCGATGGCGCCCACTGGCGAGTGCATTGTGGAGTCAGCAGGCTTGTTATTTACGTTTACGTTTACGTGTTTATATTTACGTGTTTACATTGACGTCTTTACGTATAGGTTTTATGCATTTACGTGTTTACGTTTACGTTTTTACGTTTACGTTTCTGCGTTGATGTTTTTACGTTTACGTTTCTGCGTCGATGTTTTTACGTTTACGTTTTTACGTAAAAAAATGTAAATTTGCAAAAGGTTTATTTTTGCAGCTGTATTTACGTTTTGCGGCTCGTTGTGACACCGAGGCTATGCGATAAAATCGCTCACAGTGATAACTTCTCCACCTCCGCGAGCACCCGCAACACAGCGTCGACTTCGCGCTCGGTAAGGGTTACGACATTGCGGAACAAAAGTTCGTTTTCTGCCCATTACAGCGCGTCTGGCTGTTACTCCCCGGACTCCCGAAGGCTGTATCTACTGTCCTTGTATTTACGTTGTATTCACGTATTTTTACGGCTTTTCATGCGTAAAAACGTAAAACCTGTTTTTACGCAAAAAAACGTAAACACGATCTGTGTTTACGGCGCAAATAACAAGATTGGGAGTCAGGAACGACGGGTTTTTCGCGAAAAGGCCTTGGGGATGACGGACAGAGCTCATTCCCTGCAATTCTCATTAATCATCAATTTGAAACAGGCCCCGATACACAGCCACTCGCCAAAAAATATATATCGATACAATTAACAACAACACGATATCATGACAGCCTATTTCTGAAGCGGCAATCCCTCAGTCAAGTGCCAGCCCCAGATCTTCTGTATTCTCCTCCCTACTTATCATCTCCCCCTTCCTCGCCATCGTCGTCTCCTCCTGTGGTCCAATTCGTTGGGGTCAGCAACTCCAAGATCTCAGTGCTGTAGTTGGACCCAAAGTCCTGGATGTTGGAGGAGGGGTCGGCGCTGATGTCCACGTCATTGGGCGCCCCTGTGGCGGGGTCGTAGACCACCGTCACAACGGCAACGGGGTCCTTCAAGGAGCTCTCGATTACATCGAACACTTCCACAACGGTCAAGATGCCATCCGCGTTGGACCCCTGCGGCGCGGCCCCAGACCCCTCCAGAACAACTTCCGTCACCACTGCACCCTCCACCGTGACGATCACCGGCTCAAAAAATGGCTCAAAAAACAAGGCACTGCGCTGAAAGCGCATGACGTAATCCGTCGAGCCCTGTGCAGCCCACAGCGCCCGCGCGTTGGCCAGCTCCTCCGCCTGCGCGCTGGGCCCACCCGTCGGCGTTTGGGGCAGAAATTCCAAGATCTCGATGTTGTAGCTGGACCCAAAATCCTGGATGTTGGAGGAGGGGTCGGCGCTGATGACAACCTCGGTCGGGGCCCCATGGACGGAGTCGTATGTCACCGTCACAACCGCGACGGGGTCATTCAGAGAGCTCTCAATGATGTCGAAAACCTCCACCACGGTGGAGATGCGCTCCGCGTTGGGCCCCTGCGGGGCTGCCCCGGACCCCTCCAGAACGACTTCCGTCACCACATCACCCTTCACTTTGACTCTGACGGTCTCAAAAAAGGGCTCAAAAAACAAGGCACTGCGCTGAAAGCGCATGACGTAATCCGTCGAGCCCTGTGCAGCCCACAGCGCCCGCGCGTTGGCCAGCTCCTCCGCCTGCCCGCTGGGCCCACCCGTCGGCGTTTGGGGCAGAAATTCCAGGATCTCGATGTTGTAGGTGGATCCAAAATCTTGGATGTTGGAGGAGGGGTCGGCGCTGATGACAACCTCGGTCGGGGCCCCATGGACGGAGTCGTATGTCGCCGTCACAACCGCGACGGGGTCATTCAGAGAGCTCTCAATGATGTCGAACACCTCCACCACTGTGGAGATGCGCTCCGCGTTGGACCCCTGCGGCGCTGCTCCAGACCCGTCCAGAACGACTTCCGCCACCGCGCCGCCCTTCACCGTGACCCTGACGGGCTCAAAGAATGGCTCAAAAAACATGGCACCGCGCTGGAAGCGCATCACGTAATCCGCCGATCCCTGCGCAGCCCACAGCGCCCGCGCCGACTCCAGCTCCGCGGCGGTCGTTGTCGCTGTGGGCGGTGGCGCGGGCTGCCCAATCGCCGCCGTGGCGGCGATGGCCAGGATGGCGGCAAGGAGAGCGCTGGCCGCCGAGACGCCCATGCTTGCCATGCGACTACTGTGCCGTCTCGCCGCTCGCCGCTCTGCGGCCTCCAAGTTCAAAGCTGCACGTTGGGCGTAGCTCAAAGCCGTCCAGGGTCGGTTAGCGTGCGGTCAGGCTTGTGTCCTGCTGCCCAACCTCCGTGCTATAAAGTGGTCGTTGCGGTGGCATATTCTAAAGTTCTTGGCGATGTTCGCGACTGCCGCATGTCAGCCTTACACCACACTGCCGCGTAGGCCCGGACGGGCAGCGGCGTAAGGCTGTGACGTGCGGCTGAGTGTTTGAGCGCCCGCCCGAGGGGCCGCGCCACGTCCGCACTGCGAAGTTGGTGGTGAAATTCGCGGTGACCACACGTTGCCCTCGGAGCGAATGGGCAGCTGCTCCGCGCGTTCAAGTTCTTGAAGGGCGCTGGCGCCCTTGAGGCATTGCGCCATCCCCTGCACGACGGCGGCCGGCCCGACGGGGAGTTACTGTTTTGGTACAACCACCCATTTTGTGTCGGTTGGGATCTCGAGTTGATCTGGATGCGCTGAAAGGACGTAAGGGAACGTTGGGCCCCACCCCGTTTTTTTCACCTCTCCGGCCTACGGCACCATCAGAATGAGTCAAGCGTAGGCTGTGAGCCTGGTGCTGTAGATTCGAGTGGCGCTGGATCGCTCGCACAATCCTCCCAAGAGAAGATCCCGCAACGTATCGCATACAGCATTGTAAGCCCCAAGAACATCGTACTACAATGTTCGGCCCTCACTCCCAGATTCTGTATCTGTTGAGCAGCGATTCCTTGAAAACCGCGCGAACGCAATGTCAGCATTTGCAAGGAGGAGTCATCTGTTGTTTCCCTCAGGGAAGACACCATGTCTATTTGGTACGCTTAGCGTCAAATTGACGCTAAGGGGGGTGGGGGGCGATCCAGAACTGTGACGCTAAGAGATTGTGCAACTGCCATATAAGGAGGGAAGGTGCCCCAAAACGCCGCTGATAAGTGGCAAACAACCCGTGACATGTTCTTAAGCCTCCCACAAGTGTTCGATCTTCAAAGAAGGCATTAGAAGCCATTCTCATCCATGGAACAATTTGCGGTCATTGCAGCTGCGCCCCTCATATACAATGACATTTAGAATCCATTTCCGACCCACTAAAATCAGCACAACTTTTATTGAATTTGCTCCCTGAAAACACCTGGAAGTTGAATACCACTGTTAGGTCACGTTGCTGAGTCGTCCTGGCTTCGACTTAAGGATTGATGCTAAGCGTACCAAAATGGACATAGCGTCTTCCCTTAAATTGGGATCCTCGCCTGCTCAGATACTCAACGGTATACCGTCCTGTAAGCCGTCCAGTCCTTGCAATAGCCATATCGAGGCCAATCCCTTTCATGTCATTTACTCAAAAATGGTGGCCCACATTGACAGGTGTACACCTGTTTCTGGCCACAGGTCATGAAGCTACAAATGGTACAACAAAGTGCATTCGGGTTGAGAGTGGGTTAGGTTTTGGAGGGGTGTGAGAGGTGCTGGTTCTATTGCAAAGGATATTCCTACCTTGCCATCAAATTATGATAACGAGCGTTTAATGAGATCCCTGCTGTCATACATGCGATTATCACTGCTGCCACCAGGCTTGCTATTTACCTTTGCGGTAGCACATCCAGGTTTACGCTTTTACTTCCAAAATCGCGTTAATAGAGAAATGGACACGTTTCCGGCCATGTTTACGGATTCTTACAGCTTGCCGACACACCCAGGTCACATGATGTCCCAGATAATAATCAGACCTATGCCCCCTGGAACAGCTGCAACACAGCGTTCACCTTACCCTCGGCACAGAAAACAACGCAGTCGAAGAAGGGTTCGTTTGTACATGCTCCAACGCGCTTTGTTGCCACTCCCCGGACTCCTGGAGTCTGTGTGTAACGTCTTTATGTACATGGGACACATTCTCACGCATTTTAACGCTTCTTTAAGCCCAAGAAAGCAAAATGCATTTTTATACGTAAGTAGGCATAAATGCGCGAGCATTTACGCCATAAATATCAAGCCTGGCTGCCACTATGTTGGTGCGCATTTCTTGATAAACGCTGGTGTCCCCAACTCACCCCAACTCAGGGTGGTAACCTCGGCCTTGTCTCGACTCACGATCCAAAGTTCTTCGAATCCATCTATCCCAGTCCTCGCCCTCTGGGCTTCTGTGTTGCCGGCCGCTGCACGCCCCATGAGCGTTGGTGCAATGTTGGCATTCGACACTACCCCGGTCTGGAGGTGGATAGCCAATCCTTAGACAGACGCTTGTGAGTTTCCGCCCAGAATGTTGGTCTTTGTCCCTCGGCTGTCTGTCGCATAACTTTTTGTGTCTGATGGCGAGCCACGTGCTTGTGTGCGGTTTATGCATAGACGTTGCCTGCACTTACTGCCGAGTGAGAGCATTTTATCTAAAGACGGTACCAAATCTGGTATCTGTGGCACCTTCACCAGATCTGGTACACTCGATGCTGGGTCTTGGAGGAGCTGGGCCACTCAAACGCCGAGGCTGGACAATCTTGACGTACATGTTTTGCCTCAGAGGCTTGCACGCTGAGGAAAGTGCCTGACATTTCTCCCTATCGCAAGGGCCAATTGGGTAGAGTCAGGACAAGTTGGCCGGGCGACATACTGGCCACTGGCCACACTGTCCGTATCTCAAGCAGTCATAAGCACGGAAAAATGTTGCCACCTCAATTCGCGGGGGGGCTAATTGAGCCGGTACTGTGAGAACTTGGGCCACATGCCTGGTGCCCTGCTCTGTTGTGTGCGAGCGAGCAACAGCGGTCCAGGAGACAAAGACTCATACTCGGCCTGTTGACAAACGCGAGTGGGCGTGGGTATGCGAGTAGTCGGGCGTATGGGCATTCGTGTTGCCTAGAATTGAGGCCGGCACGATGGCTTGGGGATCTCCTCCATCGTTGTTGGGGAGTACTGATTAGGCACAGGCTACAAGAGCGCCATGCTCATCTACAGATGCCGTCATTCCCTTCGCTTTGGCACAGACTGCGCAATCTACTCCTGTTGATCTTCACCGGTAGTTCTAATGCACGCCACAGGGCACTGGGCGGGCAATGTTGGAGTCCCCAACATCCCAAACTCGACCCACAGCAACGTCCATTCCCACGATCATGGCCAGCAATTGCGCCTTCAAAAGGGTGCGCAGGCCCGTGCAGCAAGCTGGTGAGGATTGAACGCTCCGCTGCAACTTTGCCCCCCTCTCCATGTGGTGCACAGGCACACATGAAAGCGACGTGAACCCTCAACAGCAAAGGACAGAAAAGTTGTTGCTTGACCAATCCTGCCAAATTTGTCAATTCTGTAAGTTCAAAAGTGGGGTGAACTCTGGGGTGACAAAGATGTTGGGGTCAAAAAAAACAGCATTGGCGACTGCAGATGCCGAAGGCATGGTCATGTCACACAACATTTGTTTTAACTGCGAAGGAAATGCTTACAACTACATTCATTTATTTTTCCCTCCAATGATACGACACTGCTAAAAAGAGATACATCAGTGCTCTTCAAAAAGTCGTTCAGTATCGTACTGCAAAACTCTAAGCAGTTATGTCAGAAACTCCTCCCTAACACTGTGGTTACAGAATTCTCGGAGTCCGACGTCGGAGCGCCTCCGATGCAGCTCCGATGGCATCCGACGTCGGATTCCGAGTTCTGTCTCCCCCGATGCGTCTCCGATCCACGTCCGACGCCGGAACCCCAGTTCAGGTGCCCGCGCCCGTGAGGATGACAAATACATCGCTGAGGCCAAATTCAAACTTCGACAGCTGTACATGTGTGGCTGTGGCTGCGGACGCGCTGCCTTCACCGAAACCCCGCCCTTCCGCCTGCGCCAGCGCGGGTGCTGGCCAGGAGGGCTGCGTCGGCGGCGCCGGCCCCTCCCTCCAGCAGCGTCAATGGCGGTGGACCCAGCATCGGATCCAGCAGCAGCGACAGCAGCGATGGACAGGCAATGGCGGTGGACCAGCCAAGCCATACATCAAGGTGAGCTTCATGGGAAGGCCAGGCCACGACTGATCGTGTGTGCTGCGTTGCAGGGCCACTGAATGCTTTTGTGTGTGCGCTTGTGTGGTGCGTTGCAGGGCAGCTCAGGTGCGTATGTTTATGTGTGTGTGTGTGTTTTTTTTTTTTTTTTTAATTCCAAATGTATTACATATGTTTCGAAAAAACGAGGGAACTCCCCTGCAACGCTCACTGTGCAGTAGGATCCTTTGCCAGCAGGAACCGATGTAGGATCCTAAACAAAGAAAAGCAAGAGATAGCATTGTTCGTGAAGGCCAGAATGTTCCTGCAGGGGAGTCCCAAGCAGTTCGGCAAAGTGTTCGGCAAGAGGGAGAGTGTATCAGGTCATGTCCCAAATGTCCCAGAATGTGTCCCAATGTGTCCCGAAATGTCCCAAAATGTCCCAAAGTGTTTCAGAGTGTCCCAACTATCCCATAAGATCCCCGGTTTGTTGCCCTATCTGACTTCCAGCAACGGTCATCACCATGTCAATATAAACATAATCCTCTCTCAACTATGCCCGTCGGACAGCCCTCAAAAAGCGAGCCAGGTAAGGTCGTCCCAGTCCGGAAAGATAAGCCCAATCCCAATCACCAGTGCCATGTGTCAAGTGACGGATCTCACTGGTTAGCTGCTGCCGCAGAAAAGTAAAACGGGGACAGTTAAAGAGTCGGTGGTTGCGGTCATCAATTGGGAAATGACACCATGTGCATTGTGGATCATCGACAAGGTGGAAACGATGGAGGTATTGGTTAGTTGGATAGTGGCCTGTTAGGAACTGAGCCACTAAAGATACATCTCTGCGTGAGAGGCCTCTGGTCCAACACAAAGAACGAGAGAAGTGAGGCATGACATCATATAGCTGGCGGCCACAAGTGGAAGTGTGCCACAACGTCTCAAGGCGAGAGACATAGTGGTGTCTGATAGAGGTCTTTAGGGTTTCATAAGAGTGTGGGACAGAAATGACCTCTATATGA